GCTCCTCAACTCCTTCACTGCCTTCTCTTCCCTTCTCATTTCTTCTCCCTGAAAATCAAACCCATTTCATTACTAAAATTTCTGGTTCGTTTGGTCAGTAGCTCAAGCAACCAGAATAGAGTCCGAACGATCTAAATAATTTGAATAGAGCTCACAACTCAGTTCAACTCAACCCAATCTAACCTTCTATTATCGGGTTGGACTGTACTTATCCTTACATCAAATATTTACAAGTGTCAATGCATCACTAATACCGGTTACTAACATTAAATATTTTTAATTTTTTAAAAATAGAATTGAGTTGTAACCCTACTTTTGAGTTGGTCGATCAAAAAATGTTAACCCACAAATAGAATCTAATTTTTCGATTTTTCAAAAATTCAACCTAACCTAACCCAAACCAACCCCACCTATGAACCCTAAATCCTAAACCCAAGTTTTATGGTTTAGGATGATTAGTACGAGTTAATCGGGTTATCGAGCCTTATGGGTGTATTTTTTTTTAATTAAAATTGAATCGTCTTTGAAAATTCGAGAATAATATGTACCTAAAAGAACGTAACATTGCGAAACACAGAGAAATAGAAACTAAAGTAAAAATATAACATTTTCAAACTCAACCCGACTAAAGGAATATTATACTCAAAATTGAAACACGAGAAATGTTTTTTTTTTAATTTTATTGAAATAATAATTTTTTTGGGATTCCAAAACAATTAGGCAGCCCCAAAGCAACACTTTTTTTAGGTCACTTTATAATGAGTAGATATGAAATGTATAAAGCTGAGAACCTTATTCTTTTTTCACACCCCTTTAATTTCTCTTCTTTATGGTCTATCAGATGCTTTACATTTAGACTGGACTTTCATGATTACGACCCCCTTCCCTTCCTAAACAATCTCCATTCATGTTCTTAATGAATGTTAATGAATGCATGAAAATAATATGAACACTTAAGAGTATGATACTTACACCACTTCCTGCGTCCCTGACATGCTTTGGTGCACTGCGCAGATATGGGTAGCTAAGTGCCTGCCACCCCAAGAAGGAGTTAACTTTGAGGATACCCACAAACACATAATTGGCATTTTTAAATGGCGTTACCTCGATTTGTCCCTGAAGAAATCTGATATACCCAATTGCTTCTGACAGCACAGACGCGGTATCAGTCTGCAAAAGGGTATGGGTGAAAAGGAATAAAAACTAGCATTTAAACCCTCGTACTATCGTGGAAGGTCGTGATTACTAATAATTACTGTTTTACCTTTCCGAATGGAGAAACGATTTGGTGAAGAGCGGTTATTCGATCTACGAGTTTCTCCTTCCTCACCTATTATTTCGTAATTCGAACTTTAAACATGAATATAAAAGATGCAAAGATGGAAAAATTTTACTTGTTTTATGTTACCTTTAGAGGTGGTTGGCTTGAAGATGGCGGATGAATTCTAGCCTTCTTACATGCGCTACCCGATACAGGGGCGATGTGGTTCAACTGTTCGAACGACTTGCAACTAAATCTCACCTCGGGCAAGTGATCGGCGGCGGCGGCGGGTTGATTGTGGGTGAGATCTGGGAAGTTAGTATTGTTAGAAGAAAAGTTAAGAAATTTGTTGGTGTTGGAAAATTCTTGTTTGACAATATCAACAAAGTTAGGGGGTGGAGGTGGTGAAGGATTGGTGGTGGTGGTATGATCCAAGATTTGGTGCTCCCAATTCTCCAACTTTTTTGGTTGATAATGACCCATCTGGGTTTGGTTCAAAACCCTTTCTTCCTCTCCTCTGATAACACCAAAAAGACATCACAAAATTACATATATTGAAGAACATATAGAAACAAATGAACCAAGTAAAGAACATACAACAGAAGTTGGCTCCATGATTGAGGCTGTTCAGCAAAAGAAGAGAAGGAAGGTGAAAACATGCCCCACCAATTAGGGTTTCCAGCCATCATTTGTTTAGCTTGAACTCTAAAAATTTATGCGAACGAAGAACGAAGAACGAAGATGAAGAACAAGAAGCAACAAGCTATAAGATTTTGTTGGGCAAAGTTTAAGGTATGCATGAAAGTTGAAGTCAAATGAGAGTTGGAGCCTAATAGTTTGGAGGAAGATAAGAAAGGGCTGGCTTTTGCTTTGCTTTGCTTTGCTTAGGTTGAAGGAAAGTTGAGAGAGAGAGAGAGAGAGAGAGGGGAAGATTTTGAATGGAGGGTTTGGGTTAAGGAACTTTAATTTGCATCATTTTTTTCCTTCTTGTTTTTGGATGCTTTGTTATGAGTGGAGGCCCCAAAAGTTGGAGGCTTTTAAGTTTCTTCTCTCACTTTCCCGACCCGACTCGACCCAAAAGAAAGAAGAAAAGAGAGAAAGAAACGGTTTAAAGTAAGTTAACGTTAATAATAGCTTCGTTTGATATTAGTTTTCATTTGAGTTAAATAAATTTAGATATCCATAATAAGTTCATAAGGTCATTCTAAATGCACACTAAATTAATCACTCGAGTTAAAAGCATTCTGATTAAATTTTATGTGAGATCTCACATTGGTTGGGAAGAGAACGAAGCAATCTTTATAAGAGTGTGGAAACCTCTCCCTAGTAGACACTTTTTAAAAAATCTTAAGGGTAAGAGGATGTTGAGCGTGAAGGGAGGTGAACACTAAACAATGTGCCAACAAGGATGCTGGGCCTCGAAGGGTCTGGATTATGAGATCCCACATTGATTAGAGAGGAGAACAAGTGTCAGTGAGGACGTTGGACCTCGAAGGGGATGGATTGTGAGATCCCACATCGACTGGCTCGCTAGGTCTTTGAAAGGGTATGGATTGTGAGATCTCACATCAGTTGAGAAGGAGAATGAAGTATTGTTCATCGGGGTGTGGAAATCTCTTTCTAGCAGACATGTTTAGATGTTTAGAATGAAACATTGTTCATAAGGGTGTGGAAACCTCTTTCTAAAAGACATGTTTTAAAAACATTGACAGAAGTCCAAAGAGGACACTATCTCTGAGCATTGGGTTTGGGCGATTACATTTTCTGACACTCATTTTCACCTTTTCTTTTAAAAAAAGTGTCTTTATGTTGCTTTCGAGCATGGTTTTGAATGAAAATCCCGTAGATATGACAAATTCTTTTAGTCGACAAAAAAAAACCCAACGCTCTCTATACATAATCTTATGTTAAAGATGGAACGTGGAGATCTAATAATAAAGGGAAACCCAAAAGATTTTTAATGAAACTTTGTGATTAAAACATAACACACTTAAATCTAAAGGCTTAATTACTCAAAAAATATATATGAAAGGATTAACATGAAATAAATGTGTAAAGTTTCAAAAAATATATATATATATATATATATATATAAAAGACGAGCCTTTTACTTCAACTTTTTTTAGTTCTTGTCTGTTTGTAGGAATAGCACAAGGTTTTTGAAGCCTTTTTCTTTTTCAATTATAGTCTTGTAGATATTGGGATAATATAATATTTTTTATCTTTTTTATTTTTTTAATTTTTTAATCAAAAGCTTAAATTTACAACTACTTTTAACCCAACATTAATAAATTGTTCTTGTTTAAAAAATAAATAAAAAAGTAACATTAATAGTTTTAAATAACAATTTAATAAAAATTAAGGATTTTAATACTGCTTTTAAAATTAACATTTTTTTTATTTTTTATTTTTATAAATATTAATGAAACTTTTAAAAAATTGAGGATATTTTTTAAAGATATTATTAAAAGTATAACTTTAGCAGTAAAAAAAGTTTATTTCATTAAAAAATAAAATAATGATTTTTTTTAGTAGGGTTGTGCAAGAAGTCAAAATGAGGATATATTTATTTTATATAGTTTGTCTTTTTTGAGGTTGTTAAAGAAAATAATTCCAACCACTCCCACCTTTAGCTGCTAAAATTATAATGGAAATATTAAATTTTAAAACAAAATTGGTTCCAATAATCCATTCTTGACCTCAATTTTACACTCACTTTTCAAATTAAATATTAAACTTAGACAATATCTCACTCTTTTTTTAAAAAATAATTAAATAACATGACCATATCTTATAAATTACCATTTTTAAAATTGACCCACTTAATATTTATATTATATATATATTAACAAAATATGACTATTTAAGTCATGTATATATATTTTTTTTTATATTATTATTAATATTACGAATTTCAGTGATCACAAAATGATTGATCGGATAAAATATCAATTATTTTTTAAATTCTTGCTCCAATAATTGTTAAATTATAATAATAATATATTTCTTTTAAAAATTGGCCGATAAATATGCCTAAAGCAGAACCCTAATCTTTAAAGTTTTATGGCACAAATAAATCTCATCATTAAATTTCTTTTTTGAAACTAGAATCTAAATTTGGTAGGAAAAGACAAAAGTTACCAAAGTTAATAAAGATTACTGTGATGTGATGTCTTACATTGAGTGGGAAGAGAACAAAGCACTTCTTATAAGAATGTGGGGCCTCAAGGATGATGTCCCGTTTTGGTTGGTGAGGAGAACAAAACACTATTTACAAGAATATTATTTTTGACCTCTCGTAAAAATTTCAAGAGATTAAAAGATTCAAATTTGTTGAACGAATCTAACGGGTAAAGAAGGGTACGAAGGGTATGGTGGAGGAGGGTCCAAATTCCATTTCGTGATAAAATAAAACTTTCTTTACAAAAAGTCCTGTCCTCTTAACTTTTCCAAAAGATGTTTTCTTTTTTTTTTCCCCTCATTTTTTAAATTTATTTTTAAAGCTTTTATTTATTTTATTGTCCAATCTTTCCCTTCAACATACCCTTTCTATCCAAAATTAAATAATTTTAAAGAAAATATAAAGTATTTTTTAATTTGTTAATTTAAAATGGGCTGGGCTTTCTTAATTGGGCTTTATTAGTTGGGCTTTCTCAATGTCCTCGTCGGCCCAGGTTACTAATCTGTATTACCAATTTTGCGGCCATTGCTGCCTTCGAAGCAGCGTTTTATATGCCGCCATAGACCAAGTTTCTGTTGAATCACTAGCTACTCACCGGCGCCGTGATTCGTCAAGCTTGTTTGCGACGTCGCGGTCTGTATGAGACAAGACCTATGAAATTTTCTATTTCAAGCTATCAGGAGTTTCCACAATGAGTGCAGGTACTCTAGCACATGCGTTCTTAATACTGAGGGCGAGAGAGAGCATGATTTTTCTCTTTTTTTGGGGTGAATTTATGTTAGTTTCGAAGAGGCGAGGGATTAGAGAATTTGTATCATGTCAAATGGTTTAGTGAGTTAAGATTCTTGATTGTTGCTGGTAAAATATATATACAGTTCTGATCGGGGATCGGTTCTTTAAGGAGCTGCATTTTTAGCCTTTTTCAGACAACTAGCTTATTCGGAAGAATGAAAAGATTTGAAAATAGTTGGATATGCTTGCAGAATCTCAACTCTAAATAGGAGTTTCTATCAATTGATTGAAACCAGTGAATGGATTGGGTTTGAGCAATCTGTGGGTTGATTGTGATGTTTTTATTCCATTTGCTTTACATGTCTCTTAGTTGAGCTTAGTCTTCAATGTAGAAAGAGTTGAATTACTTGATGACTATAGAGAATGATTTGAAAGGGAAAATTCATGTTTTTATTCCATTTGCTTATCAGTTGCTTAAACATGATCACCGGATTTTTAAAATTTACATAAATGACTGATAGTTTTCACTCTTTTCAATCTTATTGGGTTCAGACTAATTGTGATTTAGTCTTTTTCGTTTTACTATAGCTTGGTATATCAGGCAATGATGGCCATCCTTTGCGTTAGCTTCTCATTGCAAGTTTTGTGATCTGTGAAAGAACTATTTAGCGGTGTTTAGCTTTGTGAGTAATATTGATATTACCTGGAATTCATATTGTTTCTTCTTTGAGTTTTAGTGGATATATAATGAAGGGATAATTTGCTAAGAGGAGTTAATGAAAACCTTCAAATGCTTTGGTGATGAAAAAGAAGATAATGATTACAACGAGCTTACATAGAATGGATATATTTCTGTTTTAGCTAAATTGATTTGGTGAGAGCTATTGTGATCTTTGCAGGTGGTTCATTTGGGGGAAATAGAGGATTGAGACCGGTACCCCCAGAAAAAGGAGTCTTCCCTTTGGATCATATGCACCTCTGCGACCTGGTATTTCTTTTTAGAGCACTATTGTTTTCACCTAGGATATGTGGTTTTTGGGATTCTTTTGAAGGTTTCTTTGTGTTCATTGCTTGTTTTATGATGCATGAGCTTCATTGCAGGAGAAGAAAGAATACCTCAATTGTCTTAAAACGTCTGGTCACCAATCTGAAAAATGCAGGCACTTATCAAAAAAATACCTTCAATGTCGTATGGAAAAGTAAGACTGTTGAAATTTCTATATTATGTTTTTGTATTAATAAGTGTTGATTTGCTCTCTGTATTCTAGATTCATAAACTTTTGTTTGTGGGAACCTGGGTTATTGTTATCTTTCAATCCTGATGTTTTACACACCAATACACCACTATTAGCTGAAATGGTGGCATAAATGAATGTATATGAACAAACCCTTCATCCATATACCAATTCCAGTAGAACAGCAAGTGCTATCATTGTGATCTAACAAAAAAGGAAAAAAAGAGGTGCATGGTGCAAGTAGCTATAAGTTCCGCCTTTCTGAGGCTCTGCCAACTTTCCCTTCCTTGTCTAGCTTAGCTACAAGCCAACTAACTCATATGCCCTGAAAACTAGGAATGAACCTTTCCCTCGTTTTCTAACAACTTCTATATACTTCATCAATCTATCATTCTACCCTTATAGCCCAAGCCTACCGCTCGTAGATATTGTCCGCTTTGGCCTGTTACGTATCGCCGTCAGCCTCATGCGTATACTAGGGAGAGCGTGGGATTTCACATTTACTCGTCCTGTGATTCTATTCCTTTGAGATGCAATTTGTTCTTTTGAACGGTTTTGGTTCAACTTTGGTTACATTGGTCTAGCACAAACTAGAGAGTAACTGGAAACAGAGTGCATTATTCATTTCTTTTCCTCTTATCTTACGGCAAATAAGGGGGACACACTCGATTGATATTGTTATGAATACTGCTACCAAAATTATTGGTCGTAGTTTGTGTGTGCTACCCATCCAGTTTCTTTTCTCATTGGTTTGAACTTTGTTATTTCTTCTCTAACACAGCTCGGCGGTGTGAGTATGGTTATTCATGAGATTTCATTGGGAACTTGCAGGAATTTGATGGCAAAGCAAGACATGGCAGAACTAGGATTCGGGAATTTGAGTCAGCCCAGTTTGTCTGGCGATAAATTGGAACAAGTTTAAACTGTTCATCCATAGATAACCCTGAGTCGAAGATCTTAGTTGAAGGAAGCGGAATTGATTTTCCTTGATGTATCACTGAACTTAAATCAAGGGACTAATTCAACAAGCCTTTATACCATTCATTGATTGTTTTTATCTCACGCTAGTTTCTAGTCAAATGCAATGCAAGTCTTGTTCTTACATCCCTCCCGACCACGGTCGGGCCGGGTTCCCTATTTAAAAATCACTTTCAATCTTTCTTAAAATTTGAATTCGTAGTCATATCTTAAAAGTATTTGGAATACTTTTCTTTTTTTAGTTTTCAAAACATATGTATCAAAACATGAAGACCCATGGAGAGAAATATCATTTATAAGCATAATTTTTTTTAAAAATAGAATGACATAATTTTTTTTAAAAATAGAATGATTACCAGACGTGACCTTAATTTTAGATTATTTCTTAAAAATTAAGCTTATGAACACTGATTCTCCTGAAGAAATTTTTTTGTTTGATATCTAATTTTTGCTTGTGAGAATACAAATTATGAGGGAAAAACCAAAAATCAAATAAAAAATAATTATAAAATATGCTTATTATATTATGTCAAGGTAGCTGGAATAACTCAGTTGGTTAGAGCGTGTGGCTGTTAACCACAAGGTCGAAGAGGTTCAAGCCCTCCTTCTAGCGCTATTAAACGATATTTATTGTATTATTTTCAATATTAAAAATTAATTTATATAATTAAAATTATTGAAATTAACATCCGCTGGAATAGCTCAGTTGGTTAGAGCGTGTGGACCTTAACCATAAGGTCGAAGAGGTTTAAGCCCTCCTTCTAGCGCTATTAAACGATATTTATTGTATTATTTTCAATATTAAAAATTAATTTATATAATTAAAATTATTGAAATTAGCATCCGCTGGAATAGCTCAGTTGGTTAGAGCGTGTGGCTGTTAACCACAAGGTCGGAGGTTCAAGCCCTCCTTCTAGCGATTTTGTTTTTTATTTTTCTCCTTAATTAATTTCCATTCTCTGACACTTTCCGCCTTTTTCTTTCCGGCCTATGAAACTGACATCGGTTGGAATAGCTCAGTTGATTAGAGTGTGTGGCTGTTAACCACAAGGTTGGATGTTCAAGCCCTCCTTCTATCGTTTTTTTTTTAATTTTTCTCTTTAATTAATTTCCATTGTACACTTTCGAGCTTTTCATTCAGGCTTATAAAACTAACATCTACTAGAATAGTTTAGTTGGTTAGAGCGTGTGGCTGTTAATCACAAAGTCAGAGGTTCAAGCCCTCGAACCCTCTTTCTAGAGAAGTTTTTTATTTTTTCTCTTTAAATAATTTCCATTCTTCATAGTTCAAAAATCCGCTTCTAACACTTTTCCGGTTGGCCTTTAGCCCTGTGTAAAACCTTACCCATAAGGACGGACTGACGGCGACACCAGATAAGGCCATGAAGAGCCACACAACACACAATCATGATCCTTTTTCCACTCCAGACTTCACTTCCTCAACCCCCAATTTCCCAAAATGGAGGCTCTCCATCTGGGTTCTTCCTCCTTCCGTTCCTTCAACTACATTACAAATTCCACCCACACCCTTAATCGCTTCCGCCCACTAACCTTTCGCAGATCCAAAATCAGAGCCGTCGGCACTGTTCCACAGAGCCAATCCGACACCAGTGAGCCTCAGGAGCCTCCCATGGTTGATTTCGCTTTCGTTAATGTAAGCTGTAATGTTCGATTTTTAGGGTTTATACTTAGATTATCGAGGCTAATTTATGTGTTTGTTGAAGTCTGTATTGCTTCCTGATGGAACTCCTGATGTGCACTTTCGTCGAGCATGTGGTGGGCAAAAACTCAGAAACATAATGCTTGATTCCAATGTTGAATTGTATGGGCCTTATGTGAGTTTCCCAGTTCCTTAACTTCATGAATTGGGGTTTTCTTAGTTTTGATTATAATAGGGCTTTGATGTTGTTCTACAGTCGAGATTTCTGTTGAACTGTGCGGGTGGAGGGACCTGTGGGACTTGTATGGTGGAGGTGATTTTACTGCATTAGATCATGTTCTTAATGAGGATTTAATCAATACCCTTTTCATATCTCGGTTCTGAGTCTCTGTTTGTTTGATCATTATGGCAAAAGAGTTAATCAAAATCTGATGCGTTGGCATTGAACAAGGTGAAGAAGAAATTCAATGTTAATCTTCTGACTGCAATTCTTATCATCATTTCAGATCGTTGAAGGGAAAGAGCTATTAAACCCTCGCACAGACATAGAGAAAGACAAACTTAAAAAGGTTTGTATACAGATTCCATTGCCATTAAGCTGAGAATCTCTGGCTTTTGGATTGGTTTCAATTCCTCTGAATCAAAGACATATAATGGTCTTGTTTTTCATACACAGAAACCCAAGAACTGGAGATTAGCTTGCCAAACCATTGTTGGGAAACCAGATTCCAGGGGGATGGTAATGAGTAGAAATTTGATTGATTGATTGATAGAACAGTGTCCTGAGTTTATTGTTTGTTTTCTTTGGATGAAGGTTGCTGTTCAACAGTTGCCTGAGTGGAAAGCTCATGAATGGGGTTATGAAAAAGTAGAGCTTTCAGAATCATCAGAGTCTTCAGAATCTGCATAATTTAATAACAACCTTTTGTTTTACCCATCAGAGTCAGCTGAGATGATTGAGCTACGGACATTAAAGCTAAGCTCCTTGCCGCCGCTGCATTAACAATGTAATTATTCCTCGTTTAATTCAGTTTGTCCCCTTTTTTTTTTTTTTTTTTTTGAATTAGTGATGTCATGCTCTAATTGCATATGCAAAAATTCATAATAAATACGCTTAAAATAAAGTTGTAAACTTACCTTTCAAAACTTAAATAAATATAATATAATTTTTTTAACAAAACACCTATCAACTGATTAAATTTTTTAGAAGGCTGTAATGGAAAGCCCAATTAGAACATTATATGCTAGCGCTAGGCTTGAGCTATTAAACAAGTAGCTAACTTGATAATATTAAAAGTCTAAATCCTCATCCATCGTGTTGTTGAACTTCATAACAAGTTAGAAAATTGAGTAATACACGTTAAAAGAGCAAAATAAGTTTAAAATTAAGAATATGTACAATTTTAACCAATGAAATTATTTCGACTTTTGCAAATACAAGCGATTGATCTACTTATAAACGACAGGAGAAGAAGAATCCAACAAAAGCAAGACATACATTCATATAAATTAAAGGCATCAAACCAAGGGCCCAAAACAAATCAAAGGAGAAGAAGATAGAACAAAGGAAGAACAGCAGAAAACCTTGCTTTTCCTCCTCTTATTGCAGAGGGAACAGAGCAAAAGGAAGAAAAAAAAATCGCTTAATTTATTTGGGCCTTAGTAATCGCTTGGAATTGGGCTGGGCCCATAGGCCATAAAGGCATAAAAGTAGATAAGCCCAGCTAAGCCACCGCCAACGAGTGGCCCAACCCAGTAAATCCAGTTGTCGTGAAAGTCCCCACTGACCACCGCCGGTCCAAATGACCGGGCCGGGTTCATCGATCCGCCGGAAAACGGTCCGGCTGCCAAAATGTTTGCTCCGACGATGAATCCGATGGCAATTGGCGCAATTGTGCCCAAAGATCCCTTCTTTGGGTCGGCCGCCGTCGCATAGACCGTGTAAACCAGACCGAATGTGATGACAATTTCCATCACAACTCCTTCCGCTGCTCCGATGCCGGCCGCCACGCTGTGGACCGGAACTGCCTGCAGGGGAAAAAATGATAAAACTTTTCAACATGGGTGTTGAAGTTTCAAGCCTTTTTCATATTTATAGCCACATTATATGTTAAAAATGGGTATGAGAATGCGAAGAATTTAGGACTAAAACAGAGAAATGACCAGGCCGCCAGTAACATATTTGAGAAGGTAGCAGGCGACAATGGAGCCAAGAAGCTGAGCAATCCAGTAAAATATGGTCGTAATTAGGCTGATTTGGTCACCAAGAAGAAGGCCGAATGTCACCGCTGGGTTGACATGGCCACCGGAGATGTTGGCTCCGACAGAGACTGCAACAAACAGAGCAAATCCATGGCAAACCGCCACCGCCACCAGCCCCGCTGGGTCCAAAGCTGCAGAGGATGTTATTTTATCTGGCAGAAAATGACACCAAAGTTGTTGAGTTAATCCAAATATAGTTGAGCAAGATAGATAAGAGTGTGGGGGGAAACTGACCGTAGGCAATGGCGGAACCGACGCCGGCGAAAACGAAGAGCAAGGTGGAGATGAACTCAGCAAGATACGCCTTGCAAGAGCGCAAGCTAAAGGAATCTTGGAAGCTTCCAATGGTGAACCAAGCCATTTTCAAACAAACTTAGAGCCTACGCCTTATGAATTATTGTTGAGCTTCTCATATTAATCTTCTTCTTATATAGACATTCCACACAATTCCATTGCGACAAAATGACCGGTCACTGTTCGTCTTTCATGTAACTTCTGAGATTTACCCATGTGAAGAACTCACCAACTTTCTTTTTAAAATGTCCCCTATGTCATCAATATTTTCAAATCCCAAATTTTCAACAAAATAATTATAAAAAAAAAAAGGAGACCATTAAAACATGGCTAACAATTTTGTAATATTAGATATATAGAGAGAAAAAGTTTCAAATCTAAATCTAGCTGACGATATGACAACTTCATTGAACATAATATTTCGGTGAAGATTTAGGCAATAAGTTTTTGGGTAGGTATGTGTGAGATTTCATGTTGGTCGGAGAGGGATGGTAAGGGTGTGAAAACCTCTTCCTGGAAAACTAAAAAAGGACAATGTCGGATTGAGTATGATTCAAAGACGGTGTGTCTTTGCCAGCCGGGCGACCTATTGGGAGTTATCAAAATCGGAAATAGAATACAATGTTTTTGCTAGGATCTTAGCTGGATTTGAATGGGTTTAAAGGGAAATGTACAGAGAGTGATCAATAATAGTGTTTCTCATAATCATAGAGGTGAGAGGGGGAAGAATGTAGAATGGAGCCAAACAAAAGGAGATGAGAATGATATATGATCATCAATAATGTTTTCAAATATGAGTGGATAAGGGTCTTTTTCTTTTGAAATATATGGATAAGGTTTATATAATAATATCTGATCATCTGATGGATTCTATAGATGCCAAGTAGGTTTATTAGGATCTCATTTTAAAACATTATTGGTTTATATATTTTTATTTGTTTTAATTGGATCGAATAAATATGATTTTTTAAAAATACTTAAAAAAAACAACCCAAAAATAGAGAGTTAAGAACAAGCTAAATTCTACAAACAGAATAAATAAAAAATAACTTGAAGCATTCAGTTCGAACCTTAGTAAAGTAGAGATCAGTCGATTTGCATATGTTCGGTAGCACAGCAATTGTATCCATTTTCATAAAATGCAGATCTTTGTGAGAGATGAGCTTCACGGATATGATACTCGTTCCACTCCTTCGACCCATACTGCTTGAAAATTTCACGAGCAGCAAATGAATCCTTCTTCTTTTTCCTTTTATTTCTGAAGCATTGCGGTGACATGAAATCAGCCCTGACAGTGAAATCAAACAATTCAGGATTGTAAACAGAGATTCACACATGGAAGGAACTAGAAAGTACATGAAAAGATGAGCATATTGAAGAAAAAACGAACCAAATCGTGTACATTTTTCTAGGTGATGCATTTATAACAGTAGCAAGTGTCAAAGGATTGATGGAGTTCATTAAGGGAAGGTCACGAATATATAAGTAGGACACATTATTTCTATTGGTATGAAACCTTTTGGAAAAACCAAAAGTAAAGCCACAGGAGTTTATACTTAAAGTGGGCAATATTATACTAATGTGGACGTTCGTTGTTCCTAACAGCAGGCAACTAAATATTGATAATGAGAAAATCATTCCGAAGATATTTATCGAATCAAATCGCGAAGTAACAAACAAAACATTCTGATATTTGATCCTTGATGGTTGAGTTCGGAATGAAATGTATTAGAAGTTGTTAACATACCTTTAACTTCTGTTTTGCATCTTTCTCCAGAACAAGTCCAGCTTCTGTAAATGCATCAATGATGACTTCTTTAAAAGCTCAGGAAATTTAAAAGTGAAAAATGTTTGGTTATCTTAAGAACTTGAACCAAAAAGAAACAGATGGAATAATTTTTTTCTGCAGGATATGTTTGAGATGAATCTATAAAATGAATATGACAGGCTCGTAACAGTCTTCTGACATCGCCAATTTCTTCCACAGGAGCATAGAGAACGCGGGCTTTGGCAAAGGAACCTCTCATACAATCCTCATATCACACAGACATTATTGGGAATAAAAAAAATGAACTTCCAAACTACGTAGATGAGTGTTCTTCAAGTTACTTTCCCAAGATAATGCTTGCAAACAAAGTTTGGAAACAAATTATTCAATCTCATCATTAAAAACACCACTTTCTGTAAATTTGGTAAGTTGTTGAAAGTGACAAGATTCAAACCAAAATAGAGATACTTCTAATCAAATGCGACTGTATTAATCCTTGGTGGGCTGCAGTTATGATTGAAATGGTATCTATGTAGAAAATTTGATGCTTGAACATAACAGAACTCACCAACCCCTTCAGCTTAATTAGTAATGGCCTATTATCCAATGCATCCATTATTTTAGAGGAGATACCTCACAAAGAAGATGTGTCATCACATACAAGCTCTACAAATGTGAGATCTCACCTCGGTTGAAGAAGGGAACGAAACATTCTTTAAAAGGGTGTGGAAACCTCTCCCTAGCAGACACATTTTAAAAACCTTGAGGGAAAGCCTGAAAGGGAAAGCTCAAAGAGGATAATATCTGCTAGCGGTAGGCTTAGGCTATTACAGTTTTCTTTCTACTTTTAATACAAATATCCAACAAAAAACATGCAACTCATGATTAGGGCCTCAAGGTTTTTAAAACATGTTTGCTAGAGAGAGGTCTCCATACCCTTTATAAAGAATGATTCGTTTTCCTCCTCAACCGATATAGGATCTCACAATCCACCCCCCGGCACTCGAGGCCCAGTGTCCTCGCTAACACTCGTTCCCCTCACCAATCGATGTGGAATCTCACAAAAAATGTCCCATTAGTAAGTATAATCACTCTCAAAACTTCAGAAGCAGCCTCAACTCACTCCTTGTTCCACAACTTAAACATAAGTACCATTAGATGAAATGTTTAGGTTATAAATATTGATTTGTCAATTCCCAGACTGCACAGCTACAGTTATATGCTTTTGTAATATAAATTCCACATACCCTCAGAAGGGCTGGCGTGCATGTACACAGGTCTCCATGTTTGGCTGACTGTTTTGGGCTTTTTCTTCTGGTCAGCAGCACTCCAGAATTCCTTTTTACCAGTCATATTCGCATTCAGGCTCCAACCATCATCAGCATAGAGTCCCTGACGCATTGGAATAGAACTCAGTTTTATAAGGATTAGAAGCTAGTCCACCACCAGTTTATTACTAAGAACATCATTTCAACATCCAAATTCAGGCTCAGATCGTGTTAAATTACTATTCAACTCTAAAGCTTAAGCTGATAAGTAAGGCATATCTAATCATATCCTTGACCTGCCCTTCCTCTAACTTGAAGATAATCTATTGTTAAATCACGACTAAACAACTGAACTCAAAGTAGATAAGTTATGGCATATTCAATAATTCGTTCATATTTTTAATAGAAAATCATTCCAACTTCAAATTAATCGTTAATATAATGAGCTTCAGAGCTAGATTACGAGCTGCTATATGACATATACGGACTTGTACATTTCAAGAGACGGTCGACTCTACAAAAGCAGCACAGCAGATTAAATACAGCCAAACAGAGAATCTTATAAAGAGAGCGAAACTTTCAATCCATGGATTGAGCTTAGATATCTCTGATTAACTGATAATTTTTCAAGTAACATCGATCAAAACTTCCTCTCAGTCTTAATCGATTGAATTAGAACTATTTGATTGATCAAAACATCCACTAATGTTAGGTTATATCCCGTTTCAAAAGATGAAAATGGAGCCAAACATCGAGCATTGTTACGAAAGCAATAAGCTCAGAAATTTGTAGAATTACAAGATTTGTAGAGCATTGCTTAAGGAGATTTTCTCTGAATCCAAACAGAGTTTTTCATTTTTATGAATCATACCTGAAAAGAGACCTGCAAACTACCATCCGCAACCCCTGCCTGGTCGCGACCGGACCTGCACAGATCATTCAGCATAATGGACGAGAAAGGAATTCGCACGTACCTTCTCCACGTGCGAAGGATGAAGCATGGAAATATAAACGATTAATTAATTAATTATATATACATTATAAATAATTGCGGTGGAGGAATAAGAATATATACGTGAATTTTATGCTTAAATTTATAATATTATTCGTTTCCCCATCAAGTTCTTGTGGGCCATAGAGGAACCTAGCCCCTCCCTCAAATACCACCATTTACCTACTTTATTTTTTTTAATTAAATTATAAATTTATATTTAATTTTATATTTTCAAAAATTAACCCATAATTAATCTCTATAGTTTCAAATAGTCATATACTACAACAAGTGATTGTCTACATACGAGCAAGAAATGTCTTTTTGCTGATAATTCGAATAAGGTCAAACAGGGTAATAACCTTCTAGCGTTATGCACGCACCTGATATTCAGTACGAACCATCTACAACTCGAAAAGCATCCATTCTAATAAACCTGAAATTGCAATGGCACGGGAGTTTGTCTAGATCAAGTATCTTCTCGATATCTCGAGCCTTCAAATAGGCTCTCTCTAATTCAATTGGCAGCCATTAGAGAGCCCCCTTAGGACCTCCCATTCTTTGTTTTCCATGGTTTGTCTTGGAATATTATTTGGGTGCAAAAGGTCTCGCTCCCCCACAGACTATCTTCTCTCAGCTTTATTCCTCATTGCCATTCTTTCCTTTCTCCGTCTCCTCTGCTACCTCCTTCCTCGCTTCTTTAAACAATCCTGTCGTCGTCGTCGTCCATGCCATGACCGGAATCCCGATCCTGCCGCCATCGTCGAGCCTCCACTGCAGACTGATGTCACCCATCTTCACCAACCAACTCCTCTGCCAGAAAACAACCTTCTTCTTACCTCCTCTGCACCACCTGCTGCAGATACTCATCTTCCTGCTTTCTCGAGATAATACAGCATGTTTCGAGTCGTTTTCGCGTCGAACATGCTGTTCTTATTGTCCCTTTTGTGCTTTTGATTGTTCGGGTTGTGCGGTATACCGATGTCATCCGTGCTAAGGTATGAAATCAAAGTGATTTGTGAGCTGTGTATCATACTGATTCAGAGGATTCACTCTTAGTTTAAGAGAGGCAATAAAAATCAACTTTTTAACACACAAGCAGAAAAATGTTAGCATTTGTTAAGATTATGCATCAGTTTGTAACATAATGAACAATCTTGGTTGTCTTCAATGTCTTGCTCTGGTACCTCGGTTCTTGCACTTCTCTATGGCACTCGGCGCTGCAATTTAGTGAGCAGACATGTCTTTACATCATATTGAGCTTCTTTACATATGCATTTATCAAAAAAAGCTTATGAAAAATGAGTATGTTAAGCATCCGATTATGCCAATACTTTCCTAATCCAATTGCTTCAGAACCTTTCATGATTCGGAGTCTTTAATATGAATCGTTAAACATCCTGCGAAATCCAATCTAAAAGGGTAAGGACGAAAGTAAAATATAACATGAAGATGCACGTTTTTTCAGTAATGAAAAAGTAAGCAAACAGATCATGTGAAACTTCTCTTCGGTAGACGCGTTTTAAAGCCGTGGAGCTGATTCCCTGGTAGACGCGTTTTAAAGCCGTGGAGCTGATTCCCTGATAGACACGTTTTAAAGTCGTGAAACTGATTCCCTTGTAGACACGTTTTAAAGCCGTGAAGCTGATAACTATACGCAACGGGCCAAAGCCGCTTTACTATTTCAGAACAATTGATCATAGCAAAACATTTGGATTAAAGTTGACTATATGAAATGTATCTTCCTTTTAAGCTTCCCCTCCGCATATGGTAGAAGAGGTTTCCACACCCTTAGTGGGAGGTCCAGTACCCTGAAGAAGACGATAAATCAATGAAGAAGACGACCTAGCACGTTGGAGATAATGGAATAAAAATCTTTACCACTTTTAGGCGAAAGCAACACAGCCGCTTCCCCTAATTTAACCTCACATCCATTACTCCCACAGAAAAGCCATTTGGCAGAAGACAAATCAACACAGCCCCTTCCTTTTTCGCCGGTTACATAATTGACATGAAACCACATCATTTCTTTATATTTCAACTAATTAATACTTTATAAGCTTTACAAATCATTTGTTTATTAATCAAAAAGTTTAGATAACAGAGAGAAAATTAACAATAAAGTTGCAAAGATTTCATACTCACCTTCTAATGTGAACTGGTTTAATCAGAGGGAGAGAAAGAGAAGAAGAATATGTACAATTTGATTCTGTAAGTAAAAGTGTTTGTCAATAAGAATTGGGAATCTCAGGCCTACAAAATGTGACTTATTAACATCCTTCCTAGTTGCCATCAACATTTTCTGTAAAATGTGAACTGCCGTGTACCTGTTGAACGGGAAAAAATGGGAAAAAAAACAAACAAAAAAGAAAAACAACTCCATCAAAAGGCTGAGTTGCATCAGATCATGAATGCCTGGCCTCATCTGTAGGCGAAGACTTGGAATCTGCTGGGTTTGGCGTGGATTTTTTGTTGACATTACATACACGAGGGTGTTGAATTATCACAAAAATCGATTCCTTCGAACTTTCCATTTGGGAGAGCGAGGTCGGCTGCGTCGAATAAACAGAGTCTCTCAAAATGTATTGTAGTAAGTAAAAAGTTTAAGAACATCAAAATGAAGATGAAACTGAAATAACATAACTAGCTCAAAGAATTTACCACGCCAATTTGCCAATTATGACTGTTAAACTCTCTAAAAGTTGATGCATCCACGTCCTGTAATTCTTGCAGCAATTAGTAAACAAAATTGCATCTGAAGGATGGCCCCTTCAACTTTAAGCAATGTTCATTATCGATCTTCACTAACACTATTTTGTATCATTCTAATAAATTACCTTGCTAGTAAATTTTACAAGTCAACAAAAGATTAAGAGAGAAAAAAGATTTCTGGGTTCATCGTCTCTGTATTGATTCTAATGTAATACTTACAACGCTGTAAATAGGAGGGATAATCCTATTCTCTTCAGACTTAAAAGTTTGCATAACAGAGAAACGGGAGGCCAAGTCTTGGGACCTAAAGATCCAGCTGCAATATGGAGAGGGAAAAGCCAATAACCTTACAGACTGAAATTCTCCCAAGAAAAATTAAGCTATTCTCATAAAAGTATGATCATATACATATACATACCCGATGTAGCAGAAGATGCAGAAGAGGGCCCATTCTCGTACTAACAGACGAAGCCAGTAAATTTCCACTGAATCGTCCATGTTCAGGAATATCTGAAACCAAACAAAAGACTGAGGAGTGAGGACTGATCCATATATAGCATATAAAATCGATTTAACGATAAGATGCCATATCGAATCATACCATAATTTCTGCCATGACAACAATTTGCATTATTCCCCGGAATTTTCTGTGTAATATATATGGAGGTAGCACATCAGAAACAAGATTTACCATCTAAATATGACATGTAGATAAGAGTCTACAAAGTAATTGCATACTTGAACATCTTGTATTTCGTTAGAATGGCATCGTGCATTGCTTGAACGTCCTCTTCCATAATGAAACTCAATTGTTCTTGCAATGCCAGTAGATTTTGATATATGTGGTGGAAAATCACATAGAAGGAAATGAAGTAATTAAGCAGAAGTAAGACCTGGATCAAATAGGAAGCTGGGATTGAGAATCAAGGGAGGTGAAATCGTGCAACAGCGATCATTTCTAAAGCATGAGGCTACAGCTCAGTAAACTCACAGATAAGTAAGGTATGGAAGCTCGGTAACCAACAAGCGTCAAATAAAATATACAGCCAATTGAAGCAGTAGTTCGTCGCTCAGAAACTGAAAGGTGCTCGGACATGATGCAATAGCCATGAGAAATAAGTAAAAAGGACACAACAGAAGCCGTCTGAAAGAGCACTCCAGTTACATATACCCCAAATGACATCCATAAGGAGCATGTCTCAATATAAAAACATGAATACCTGCGATTGTAGATTAAATAGGAGTTCAAATGGGCCAAGAGAAACTATAAATTTTGGGAATACAAAGTCCCAGATCATGGTATATGAGTAAGGACAACTTTGTCCATTGACAAGAAGCCTTTTGGAGAACCAAAAGCAAAGTCACGAAGAGCTTATACCCAAAGTGGACAATATCATACCATTGTGGAGATATGTCGAAATTGGTTGTCCCTAATGAGAAAAGTAAAGAATAAAATTATAAGATTTGCAGACTAATCTCATTTCAAATCAGATCAAGGGAAGATTTCACGTCGATATTGAATTCCAATTTAACAGTTTATAACACCATTTACCAGAAACAAAAAAGGAAAGGAAAAATAGATTGAACATACCAAAAAAGGAAAGATAAAGTTAGCTGCAAGGCTTTAAGAAGAGGAAGGGAGGCGAGTGACCACTGCAAGTTATTGGTCTGCTCTCGAGCAACAACAATCCATGAAAAAAAGTCACAATTAATACAACAATCCGTGAAAAAAAATGAAAAAGAAGTCACAATTAATACAAAATCCACACCTGAAGCTACAAAAACGACGATGATTGAAAATCCAGACGAAAACGCTAAATACATAATTGTGAAAGAAGAATACGCATACAGTTAAAAGAACTTATTCGTCATTTTCTTAAGGCGACAATTTCTAACCTCTGTAACAACATCAAAGGGGGAAATTAATTAATTATTGTTGAATTGCTTGCAAAACAAGACGAACGAGTAACTCGGAAATCAAGTACCGAGTCAAAACCGAAAGAAGCGAGAAAATTAAATAATCTAACAAACCTATCGATATAATCCTCTCGAATCAAAGAGTGCATAGAGATCGAATTAAAACATCCAAAGCCAGTAGCTCCGTATAGTTTGCCCGAATCAAGCGATATCGTATAATTAAACCGAATCAAAACGATCAAAGTAGGCTCGATCAATACAGAAATTGATCCATTCAGAGAGTTCACTTCAAGAACTGATAAACAACTAAAAGATTCATCAAAATCCACCAAATCAGCTCTTAGCGGAAACTGATTTCAAACTCTAAAAGCTGCTTCCCACCAAATCAAAGTTGAACAAACAGTGAACAAGAAAGAAGAAAGTATTCGAACCTGAAAGTGACGGTTCTTGTAGATGTTAACAGTCCAGGAGCAGGCGGAGAGTAGCCAGATGAAGGAGAAGACCAAGTAGATAGAAGGAAGAGGCCGATACGACTCGTCGACTCCGATGGGATGCGACTTGTCGACACTGTCAGACACGTTCATTCTTCTAACGAAGATTGAAGATAGTGCCCCTTTTTTCGGTCGTGGAATTAAGTGCCTATTTTCCCGCTTTATATGCAGCAATTCTAATAAATATATATATATATAATATATATTGCATGTTTCTGATTACGTGGAAATCTATTTTTATTATTTTGTCTAAAAACGACCGTAAATAGAAAATTTTAATTCAAATAGCATAATAATTAAACAAGCATTAAAGTTTGACTGATAATAAGATCAATTAATATATATATATATATTAAGAAAGAGAGTTAACAATATTTTATCCCTAGATGAAAATTAATTAAGATCTTAAATTGGAATAAATGGGGAATATTAAAACATTTAAAGAATATTAATTTGGTAATTAAATTTATTGCTGACATAAGTGACACAGAAAATGTGGGCACGTCGGTCGGGAAATGAGGTTGGTGGTGTGATGTCCTCCTAACCACTCTCCCCAATTTCACCACAATTTTTTGGATCATCAACTCCACCTAAATATAGTTTTATTTTATTTTTTATTTTTACTATTACACCCTCTATGTATATTAAAATTACTGTTTTAACTTCTGGTCTAAAATTAAATAATTAATCTATGGTGTTGGTACATTTTTGTGTTAAATTACTATTATAAGTAATATTAAATTTAATGTGAATTTTGATGGATTAAATTTTATTTTAGACTGAGTTTAGGATAAGATAAAATAAGAATTTGAATCATTAATTTAATTTTGACTACAAATTTGAATGAAAGAGTAAATTTTATAATCATGGGACGTGCGGCCCATATTAACAGGATTTGGTCGGAATATAATTCCATCCGAAGATTTGGGAAGACCCACAAATAATAATATTATAATCATGAAAAATGGAAAAGGAAAAATAATAATTTAAAGGGTGATATTATGAATGTAGCATTAGGTAAACAAACTTACTACCAACTTACTTTCACTTTCCTTTTCATCTAATATTTCTAATCCATTCAACCAAATTCAAACCCATCTAAAAAGCTTTCAAATTTCTTTTATCATTTCAATCATTATTATTTAAACACTATACATAATTGTGCGGCAAAGTCAATTCGTTCTTATACGGCCAAGGGACGTATGCTCGAGCCTCTAGCCTTGGTTTAAGAAGAAGGTTTTAGAAAACGAGGGCAGGGTGACATTTTCGAAAAAGAGATTTTGAAAGAGGTGTTATATATGCAGATAAGAGAGTAACAACAATGGCTCACAGTATATGCGTTATATGCTCGAGCCTCTAGCCTTAGTTTAAGAAGAAGGTTTTAGAAAACGAGGGCAGAGAGACATTTTCGAAAAAGAGATTTTGAAAGAGGTGTTATATATGCAAGCAAGAGAATAACAACAACGGCTCACAATATATAACTACTGTTAGGGAGAAGTTGACAACTAGTCATATCCCAGTATGAGGCATTTCATGTCTAGTAGGCCTAGACATGATTTTTCCAAAACGTCATACTTTCTAGAAGTACAAAAGTAAAACACTAGAACATGAAAAGACATGAAGGTTTTGGCTTGTCATGGGCATACGGTCATGGGCAACACGCCTTGGACGAGCATGGCCGTGACATTCTCCCCCACCTAATTGGTTGACGTCTTTGTCAACCAACTACTTTCAAACCTGGCGATGTGGGTGGCGGCAGAGTCTAGATCTTCAGCGCGTTCCCAGCTTGTTTATTATGTAGGGAGATTCTTCCATTTGATAAGGAATTCGCGGATCTTACGTACAGGTCTTCCTATCTTCCAAACCCTGTCAACTAGGATCTCCTCTATTTCTCTGGTGTCTCTTTGTTTCAGATCAATGCTCGGTCTAGTGATTACATTTCGCTGGTCGTCGTCTGGGTCAAAGTGATAGGGCTATACAGTGAAAAGTTTCCACACTCTTATAAAGAATATTTCATTCATCTCTCCAATGGAGGTAAGATCTTACCGGTATAAAACTGCTTTTTTTTTTTTTTTTTTTTTTACTTTGAAATAAGTATATTGATTTTTTATTTAAATAATAATATAAATATCAATACATAAGCCATTTATTATTAGCTCAAAAGTGGATGGTTGAATCCTTCTTTATCACAATGATTTAACTAAAAATTAATAAAAATATTACCATTAATATCGTGTAAGAAAGTAGCTATTTTTTATTGGGCCTCGATTTTTTGTTTGGGATTGAGTAACATCACCGGCCCAAGGAGAAAAGCCCAATAAGGCACAACTAGGTTGGCCCAATACATGGCCCGTAAGTCCTAATTAATAACATTATTAATTAAAAAAAATAGTTGGAAGCAATTTGCAAGTAGAATACGTCACATACCGGTAAATAATATAATAAAAAATTAATTATCAAGTCATGGCAAAATAATAATAATTTCCCATTATTTTTATAATTATATTATTAAATATCAATTTCAACAAAATTGACACATTTCTATTCAACTTTGACTCAATATTGTCTGTATAAATTATTAAATAATCATTACTCCATTATCGGTGCAATTGAATATATATAATGTTAGTGTTACTATTTTTTTAAAATTTTTTTTGTTAAATTTTAAATAATCAATTCAAATTATTAGATTTGAAAACAAAAATCAATCGATATATAATTATTTACTTTAGCATTATATTATTTACAAAATTATAAAACATATATTTTCTCCCTTAATTTAGATTTCGATTCAATTATTTATTTTATAATGAGATTTTTTAAAAAAGAATATTACACTTTTTAAAAAAACAATATTATACTCAAAATAATTAATTACAAATACATATTTGTGAATTGCTTATTGGAATCTTATATTCAATTATTTTTTAATCATGTTACATTTTTTTAATTGTTTTTTATAATTAAGACAGATTTGTCGAGTCAGAAAAATAAGAAAATTCCAGCAGCCAATTGGAGAGGAGAAGAAAGATAGAAACCCTAAAATGGTGGGTCCCATATTTGTGATTTGGGTCCTACGCTTTTTCATATATTAAAATAATAATAATTTTAAAAAAAAATATTATTATTAGTGTTTTATAACAATTTTAATAAATTTATGGAGACTTAATTGAAAAATATAATTAAAAGTTTAATTAATTAATTATAATCAAAATTCAATTGTACAAATATACATATATATATATGTTCTCAATAAATAGGGTAGGTTATATTTATTACAACCGGAATAAAATTGATTTTTAAAAATGAATTTTGTCTAAGAAAGGATAAAGACGGCGACGTTTAAAAATTACCAAAATTGTAATTTAGTAAAAAATATATTTATTATTACTATTATTATTATTAATATTATTAATATTTAAATCTGTGTTCCTAGGGGCAAGGAGCGGCCCCAACGACATTCCCTACAAAAGCTTCTCATTGCCATATTCGAACAGAGCATCAAATCGACGGACTCTGTTACAAATGGCGAAGCCAAAGAGCTCATTCCCCACTACTCCACCACCACTTTCTTCTTCATTTCCGTCCACCCGACCGGTTTCCGGTGCCGGACCGGCTCAACCAGACCCACCGCCCCGCAAGAGAACCAGAGACTGCAACAGACATCCTGTTTTCAGAGGCGTACGGAAGAGAAGCTGGGGTAAATGGGTGTCGGAAATCCGCCAGCCGCGTAAGAAATCCCGAATTTGGCTCGGCACTTTTCCCACGCCGGAAATGGCAGCGCGTGCACACGACGCAGCTGCGTTGTGCATTAAAGGTGACTCGGCTATCCTCAATTACCCTGAACTCGCCTCATTTTTGCCCCGCCCCGCGTCGCTCATGCCGCACGATATACAAGCCGCCGCCGCTAAAGCGGCGGCGATGGCCACTGCATTGCCGTCGCCATCGGAGGAGGAGGAGCTTAGTGAGATTGTGGAGTTACCGAATATAGAAGACGATTTTGGTACTGAGTCACTGAACGAGTTCAAATTGGTTACTGAATCGTGGGAATGGTGGGAGTACGTGGCAATGCCGTTGGCGGCAGAATTCGGCAGCTGTTCTTTCTCCGACCAGTTGGCGGCGGAGGACAGTTTATTCCCCTGCAGCTTTTATGGTGCTCTGTGGGATTAATTACCGCGGGATTGCCAGGTAAAATTGGCGACAATTCACGCGGTAAAAAAATATATAAATTATCGCTTTACTCCATAGCCATTAGTCACCGAGGTTATTTAAATTTTAAGGAAAAAAAAATAATATAATTGATATTCTTGTAAGATATTAAAAATGTATTGAAATTAAATACTGTGATATATTTGTTATTCTAATCCTTAGTTTCCAGGTTGTCTAATTTTGGAGTTCTTCAATTATTTTCAAAATAAGGTCGATTGATAATTTAGTTAAATGAATGTTTCCCTTCAAAAAATAATTATTATTTAGATAAATGTCTTTTTTTTTCCTTTGATAATGAATATAAATAAATTGACATGGCTTAAAATTATAATTATTGGTTTTGTAATATTCATACTTTTATACTCTATATTTTGTCTAATTTTATCTAATGTTTTATTTTCACACAAAATTTCTGAGAAATTTAAGATTTTAGTAGCTAATTTCTAATATGTATATATTTAATGGATGAAAATTAGAGAAAATTACGGAGTTGAATTATTTTTGTATTAATTTATTTAATTGTTTATTGAATTATCGGAAAAGCGATAATTAATTTAAACTACGATGTTGACAATTAAATTATTAATAATTTAAAAAAAAAATAGAATTAAAACTATAGTTTAAAATTTTAAACGGTAATAAATTTGAAAATGGTATTTTTAATTCTGTTGATAAAATTTTAATATCCCGATTTAAGAAAATGAAAGAGTGGGGATAGATTTAAGAGATAAGATTGAGGAGAGAGAGAGTTCCGTTGGCGTTGGGCGCAAGGGATGAAGTCGGAACGCGAATTGGGATTTTTGTCAAGTGTACCGTTAGTGGGACCCTCACACACTTACCACTAAAGACAAAAAAAAAAAAAAAAAAAAAAAAAAAAAAAAAAAAAAAAAAAAAAAAAAAAAAAAAAAAAAAA